TTTTGGTTGCTTTTAGTCAGAAAACGTAAAGAAAAGGACATGCATACAGCAAGATAATATAATTTCACTTACCTGGCCTATCACTTGAAGCAAACATCCATCCCTTCTTAAAAGTCTGTGTTAAAAGAGAGCTGCCTGTTGCACCATTTAATTAAGCCGACTGCTGTAGTCTATATCCAGTTAGGCGTGTTTTCCCCTTTTTTAAATTTGTATATATATACTATTTGAATGACAGTTTGGTAAATCTGTTGGTGATCAAATATTCAATATGGCTACTCATCATAAGTACTTGGTACATTATCAGCGCAGCGGGAGACGTTCAAACTAATATCATGTAATTTACATCTCTATGATGATTGGTTGATATCAGAAGGGAGGCTAGCCTCCTCAACTTGTAAACACGAACCTCCCAGAAGGACTTGAATGCGTTTCTTTTCTCAACACTACTCAGCGCTGAAAGTGAACACTCGATGGTGATTGGCTAATTTTTTTTTACCAACGGAGGCAGGAGAGCTCAGCTCTCCCCCGGCCTCCCCCTACCCTTCTCTATCATTAGCGGTTGTAATTACATCAGCAGATTCGGCACATTCACGATAGAAAAGCGGCGCTTTCCAACTTCATTAACAAGTTATGGTATTACAGCTGTGAAATTACAAACAAAAAATACACATTCTGAGACATGAACTGAAATAAACAGAATTTTATTAACATTAAATCATCGTCCTCCCATTTTCACCTCAAAATTTTGGGGAAGCTGTGCCTCCCCTGCCTCCCCCGACGAGCCGCCACTGTTTGAAGGTGGAAGAGAGCACTGTACATTCACTCCCCCCACCTACAACCGAGACTCGAACCCATGACCAAGTACACACACACACACACACACACACACACAGAATACAATTTCCTACATTTTACATTTACATTTTCCTTTTGAACGTTGTACATTTTCCTTCAAAAAAAAAATTCTTTTGAAAAATCATTCACTATCAGATTAGGAATGCTTGTAAAATAAGTAAATAGCATCAGTTTTGATTTCATGTGTATTTTAGATGATTTTTGCAATGGAGTTAGAAGCCCTCTGGTTTGCGCAAGTCCTGTGAGTTCCCACTGTGTAGTGTGAGGTTGCTGAGTAATAATCCAGTAAAGGACTTTCACATGTGTGAGAGCCAGTCTGGCTTTGCCATAGTGGCCCCTTCAGAGACCCGGAGTCTTCAAAGAAACTGGCGGCAAAGTGAGATCAACATAGGGAGGAGGTGTAACATTTGGGATTTGTTTGGGAGCCGAACAGGTTCGCAAGGACAGGTTCATGTGTCCACAAAACCACTGACTTTAAAATGAGGACGCTTCGTTGAGATGCACATCAAATCTTGTGTCGTTCCCACATCTTCTGACCACTTCATTTCCATGACTTTTCAAGTAACTTCTGAATCCTGAATATAAATAGAGTCTCCACCAGTGTGACTTTTAAATTAATGATAGTAGTTCATACAGCTTGCTCTTTCCTTTTTCTGTCACAGTAAACTGCACACACATTTGCAGCATGAAATACTTAAACTGCACTTTGATGAACTCCCACAACGCAAGTTAACTGTGGGAATGAGTCAAACTATATTAAAACCAGCTCTTTCCATCACCCTTGACCATGTTTAACTGTAATTTCTCTTTAACTGTTAATTCAGATTTTAAAAAAATCAGCATGCTTTAGCAACAGATTTAACAGCGCAGTACTTTTCAGGAGATTTCAGTAAGAAACGTTCTGTTAATGTGCCGTTAAGGGCCTTCTCATTTGCATACCATTACAAACACTATGCACATGTAAACATTGGGCTAATTGTTATTCATTGAACGTGTTAAAAGCCTAAAGGGATAGTTCACCCAAAAATCTAAATACTATCATCAGTAGTCTTGTTTTGGACCCCATTGACTTTAATTGCATTGTTCTTCTTCAAGAAACATTCTTCTTTCCACAGATAAAGAAAGCCATACATGTTTGGAATGACATGAAGGTGAGGAAATTATGATTTAATTTTAATTTTTGCACAAACTATCCCAACAGTATGGATGCCAAATAGATACAGACCGTCGCTGAGTTATTCAAAAAGTGTAAATTTTATTTTTTGTACAAAATCATACCATTCATTTACACTTTGCAATACAAAGTACAATCGTATCAGTGTCATATACATTCAAAAAAACAATTACATGGCAAAATCTCTGAAGTTCCTGATGAAAAAAGGCACATGGCAAAGTATTGCATGTCTTGAGTGCTGGTTATCTGCTGTTGTGTTATGATAGCACAACAGTTTAAATACTTTTAATTCAAGAAAGCGTCATTTTGCACTTGTTCCCTGTTTAAAAACATGGCGTTAATTATTCCTTTGGTCTCAAGCAAATTGGTGTGCCACCATCTACGGTGTGAAATGTCTGACCGATTACCTCAGAAAAGAAAAAAGAAACAAAAAAGTGACCCTTACCCATTTAACATTCAGTCACAGGCATATAAATTATTGCTTATTGGAGAGGCTACATGTTTAAAACCTCCCAAATAGTACGTATCTGTAAACAAATGTACAGTACACATCAACCCGACCAGGACAGGGCAAATACTGTTGAAATGGAAGGCACATGACGGGCGCGTGAATCTGCGTTTACACTGAAATGAAAAGGCTTCTTAGTCAATGAATTAAGACCACCTGGGATCCAGTAAAGAGTCTTTTGTTTTGTGCCGTTTCCTTTCTGAGGGTGTCGAAGGTTCTCCAGGAACCAAACTTAAAGCGGAAAGGGTGTTTTGGGTCAGTTTTACTTGTTAGCGTGTAGTGTCTTGGTTGGAATCTGATCTCTGAATGACTCCACAAACACTTTATGCATTCAGACCCTAGGGCGTTGCATTTTTAAATCGGATGCGTTTTGCCATTCGTATCCAGTTTATCATGAGTATACTGACAGGAAGAGCAGATCCGAGATCACATTCACAATCGGAGACACTTAGTGAATGTGTGTGTGTGTGTGTGTCTCAGCGTGCAATGCAACAGCCAGATTCCTCATGTTTGTGCAGCAGCGACATGCGAGAGAAGGTTTTGGAGCAGTTCTTGCACTGGTATTTCTTCACGTCTGAGTGGGTTTGCAGGTGAGCTCGGAGGTTGGACCGGTCTGCGAATGCACGACTGCAGTGGGGGCATGAAAAGGGTTTCTCACCTATTGAACACAAAAGTCATGTCAGTTCATAATGAAGTACTGCTGCATCATGCAATGCAACGTCTAACACATTTATTGGCTACAAATTGTGCAAAATACTTAAAAGCAAAGAACTTTAGGTGTGCACATTATAGATCTGCACTTTTCCACTCAATTGTGTGATCATCTCTCTTCTCACCTGTATGCGTCCGAATGTGTCCCTGCAGCAACCAAGGTCTGGAGAACGCTTTCCCGCACATTTTGCAAACGCACGGCAGCGTGTGTGTCCTTATGTGCATCTTTAGGGCCCCTAGGCTGACGTATTCCTTCTCGCAGTACTTGCAGCTGAATGATTTCCTGGTCTGTGCGTCGCAGTGCAGCTGCTTGTGTTTCATGAGTCCGGAATACGTGCTGTAGGACTTGTTGCACAAACTGCACTGAAACTTCTCAGCGTCTGACAGTTTGGTCGACTGTATCCGCTCGTCTCCATCGCTCCTGGGGCTCTCCGAACCGCTGTGGTCTTTATTAGAGGACGTGTCGGAGAGGGACGAGGGGTATCCGGAGATAAGGGACAGGTCGCTGGGCAGGGGTGACAGGGGCAGGTTGCTGGTAGTCCACACTGTTATGGGGTTATACGACACCGGGCTTAACACTTCAGGCTGAGGTATAACAGGCACCGGGAGGGTTTTTAAGACATATGGAGAAATAAACACTGCAATAAAAGGGGAAATGCAATTGCATTAGTTCACTGGGTACTTGACATAAAAAACTTGAGAAGTGACATGCTATATTCTTAAATCTGAAATGCAATTTCCTTCTTTTATAGTTATGCATGCATCTTTTATGGCCATATTTATTGAGAAAACGAGTATTTGTACTTATTTAAGATATGCTTTCCCTAGAGCATTCATATAGTAAACTAGTTAATTGTTATGCACCAACTACCAGTTTTTATTAACTCCGTTACATGGAGTTACATTCAGACAATAATTTCACAACACTGATATCATGATATCATTCGCCAAAAAACAATCCTACGCATGTGTACCGGATTTTAAAATGAAATACTTTGGAAACAGTCCTAAAAGTGGGATCAATTAAAATCCAAACTTATAAAATGAAACGGCTATTTTGTCAGTTTTAAGTTTATTCGGCAGGAACTGTTTCCATTAGGATCCTTTGGATTGTTTGGCAATTATTCCGTTTTAGTTTAGTCTTCGTGAGCAACATATCAAGAAAAATAGCAATGGATTAATTCAATAGTCGCATCTTTTTAATATGTTGCAACTCAAAGTGTTTAACTTTAACGAAGAGTTGCAACACACTAAATAACTTGAACTTTTCACTGTTAGGAGTTAGAATCATCAAGTTTATTACCTGTTGGACTCTCCAGTTCACTATAATTCGGTTTCTTGGCTGCATTGAAATGCTTCTTTACTAGGAATGAACGAGGCATCCTGGAATACGTATAAAGATGACTGGCAGATATAATGGTCCTCTCTTCTCTTTTCTAAAGTCAAATCACTGTAATCCTTATTGCTCGGTCCGGCAAGGCTTCATCTTCCAGCGCAGAGCAGCTCTACTCCAGCGCCTCAGAGCAGAAAACAAGTAAATACTTCCAATCAGGTGCAAAGGGAGGGGCCGAGCGTTCGAAACGTGCATATTCATGAGCTCCGGTCCAATCGAAATATTTGGTCGACTGTATCCGCTCGTCTCCATCGCTCCTGGGGCTCTCCGAACCGCTGTGGTCTTTATTAGAGGACGTGTCGGAGAGGGACGAGGGGTATCCGGAGATAAGGGACAGGTCGCTGGGCAGGGGTGACAGGGGCAGGTTGCTGGTAGTCCACACTGTTATGGGGTTATACGACACCGGGCTTAACACTTCAGGCTGAGGTATAACAGGCACCGGGAGGGTTTTTAAGACATATGGAGAAATAAACACTGCAATAAAAGGGGAAATGCAATTGCATTAGTTCACTGGGTACTTGACATAAAAAACTTGAGAAGTGACATGCTATATTCTTAAATCTGAAATGCAATTTCCTTCTTTTATAGTTATGCATGCATCTTTTATGGCCATATTTATTGAGAAAACGAGTATTTGTACTTATTTAAGATATGCTTTCCCTAGAGCATTCATATAGTAAACTAGTTAATTGTTATGCACCAACTACCAGTTTTTATTAACTCCGTTACATGGAGTTACATTCAGACAATAATTTCACAACACTGATATCATGATATCATTCGCCAAAAAACAATCCTACGCATGTGTACCGGATTTTAAAATGAAATACTTTGGAAACAGTCCTAAAAGTGGGATCAATTAAAATCCAAACTTATAAAATGAAACGGCTATTTTGTCAGTTTTAAGTTTATTCGGCAGGAACTGTTTCCATTAGGATCCTTTGGATTGTTTGGCAATTATTCCGTTTTAGTTTAGTCTTCGTGAGCAACATATCAAGAAAAATAGCAATGGATTAATTCAATAGTCGCATCTTTTTAATATGTTGCAACTCAAAGTGTTTAACTTTAACGAAGAGTTGCAACACACTAAATAACTTGAACTTTTCACTGTTAGGAGTTAGAATCATCAAGTTTATTACCTGTTGGACTCTCCAGTTCACTATAATTCGGTTTCTTGGCTGCATTGAAATGCTTCTTTACTAGGAATGAACGAGGCATCCTGGAATACGTATAAAGATGACTGGCAGATATAATGGTCCTCTCTTCTCTTTTCTAAAGTCAAATCACTGTAATCCTTATTGCTCGGTCCGGCAAGGCTTCATCTTCCAGCGCAGAGCAGCTCTACTCCAGCGCCTCAGAGCAGAAAACAAGTAAATACTTCCAATCAGGTGCAAAGGGAGGGGCCGAGCGTTCGAAACGTGCATATTCATGAGCTCCGGTCCAATCGAAATAGAGGCGTGGTTTGTAGGGGGCGTGGTCAGAAGCGACTAAGGAAAGGAAGACAGGTGTTCACGCTAGGGATGTGTATGGAGGTGAAATAATGTTCAGACTTGTCACAGATGGTCAAAGCACACAGATAGTTGGAATGCCATTATTCTAGAACGTTTAAAGCAGGATAGCCCATTAAAAAAAAAAAAAAAAAAGATCGCTAAAAGGGAATGTAGATCTTGTTAACTCTTGGTTCTGATTGATTTGTGACTATTAAAAACAAAAACAACAACATTATAGGCTTTATGTTGGTTTGGTGGCGTTTAATTTGACCAGATGTTTCCCTAAAGTGTTAATTTGGTCACCTCTCACAAGTAATGTTTTCAGATCCATCAGTTTAAAGATGTGTTTTCAACAATAGCAATTTCATATACTTTTAGTTATGGATTTAGAGTTAAAAGATGTAAATCAAATGCAAACGTTCAAGATTGAGCGCAGTCTAGTTTAATCGCAGCTCACTAGCGCCCTCTTGTGTTCACGCAAGCAACTCTAGTATAACATGATTATAGTAACTATGAACACGAGTTGCTACCTCTGACTTGTGAATAAGGTCAATTAGGTCTCGTGTAATAATTTTTTTCTATGTATAAACAATGAAAAGGGCTTGACAAGTAAATTAAAGTTAAAACAGAATATTTTAAATATCTAGATAAAAATGTCAGCACGTTTTTCTGAAAGAGTTAATTTATTGTGTTATACATAAGCCTGCTATATTTACAAAAATTAGGCTATATATGACGTGATGGACCATATAATCAATAAAACAGTTGAGTAGAGCAATCAAAAGTCCAAAGAAGTGCTAGGCCTATTTCTTGAGTGTTATAAACTTAAAATTTACAGTTCAACGTGTTTCTTCTAGTTTGTTTGTGCTGTATTTTTATTAAAATAAATGCAGTTGGGTTTTATATTTTGTTGTCTCATGCAATCAATTTTAAGTGTGGCTTGAGTGTCCAATTACTTTTTGAGGTCACTGTATATTCATTGAGTTGTAAAGTCACTACATTTGTATGCTCATAGAACCCATTAGCACCTCTTTACATTTAGTACATTCTAGAAGCGATTTATAATTGGAGAGCTGCTTTTAGAAGTGAAAAAGGACAAAGAGTGTTTTCAGAGTTAATGATGATAGGTTATAATCGCTCAGTAGGCCTAGCCTATATAGACTTTAAGGATAGCAGCATATTTAATTTTTGACGGGATGAAAACGAGGCTGTGAGAGATAAAATACAGTGTGCTCAAAACGCTCTTCCAGAAAAAAAAATATCATAAAACAGCTTTGAAAGTTGAGTTGTGAAAATTACGTGATATAGGACCAACATGACATTGTACAGATTGTCGATCCCTCACAGCCTTTGTTTTCATCCGCGTTAAATTCAACATGGCGTCTAATAACCGGATAAAGGTCTAGCTGCTTAAGGAAAACTTGGACCAAAAGAGACTAATATATATATATTTGGCACAGAGTGATGGAAAACGGTATACAAAATGATATTTTGGATTATTTTGCTGTTCAAGAAGCATCAATAAGTAAATAATAGGTAAACTCAATAGCCATCAAATGAAGATAAAAGATAACCATCATCACATCATTGCTGTGAATATAAAGAAAGCACCTCTCAATAGGGCCTTTTGTCTTGAGTAATTAAAACAGGCACACGCTAAGCAGATTTTCTACCTCTTCTGGGGGAATTTTTAATTGTAAGTCAGATTTCTTATCTGCCAAAACTAATTACAGAAATGGAGGTAGTATCCATTGTTAATAGCGCCGTAAAAGCAAGGGCATTCATTTCTCTGTTCTCAATGACAGGAATAAATGTGTCTGTATTTCTTTCTGAGTCTGTGTTTGACAGTAAAGCACAGTAAAAAAATATTGTTTAGCATTTTGTTTTTTTGCAGCACAATATTATATAGTGAAAATATATTGCATTATATGTTCTACACAAAAATAATACAGTATTGCATTTTAATTATTTGTAAACAGTTGCCTGTAATTTGCAAGTATTTATGTCAAGCAGTCTTGACAACATGCATTGTTGACTCCAATCACACAGGGCCTGATAAATGTATAGACGAACAGAGACTGGATTGTGTTTGCTGAGAGAGGGGAAATAAATGTGAGCACAGCACAATCGGGCTCCTTCACAACCTCTGGTTCAAGAGATCATAGTAATGGCATTTCTAGATAAAGTGCAATGGGAATAGATATCCAGCAGTATGCCTGATGACTCAATATATGTTCTATATCAATGTTAATCTCCTGTGGAGATTGTATAAGCAAGTCACTGTAGCAGACGCTTTTATCTAGTAGTTATTACAGAGACGGTCCCTCCGGAGCAACCTGAGGTTAAGTGCCTTGCTCAAAGGCACAATGGTGATCGCTCATGGATAACCTATTGTGGGAGTCAAAATTGTAACCTTTTCAATATCAGCCCAGATCTTTAACCACTACACCCTGCATACTGAAAAGCAATAGAAAATCTAGCAGAAAGAAAGAAAGAAAAAAGAAAGAAAGGAAGGAGGGTTAGCCTATATTACTTATGAGGCATTTGCATGTCAGTGATGGATAAAACGCAAACAAACAAGAAAACCAGAGCAGATAGAGCACATGCTGACTGCATGTATTATTGACTTGCTATACTTAGTGAAATAGTAGGCTATGCAAAGGCTCTTCATGCTAAATTCTCTTTTCTGCAGCATAGCTAGAGTCCCTGCGTGAACTCATTGTTAAAACTGAAATATCTCTGGTAATGTGTAATGTTGTGTAGAAACATCGTTTGTTATGTAAAGCTTTGTGGGGAATGTTCTCGTACAGCCCGTGAGTTCTTCCTCTGCCTCCTTCACCAAATAGTACCGCATTGAGAATCACGCACATGATGGAGCCTTAAAGAGCCACCCTCTCTCACCGCGTCTTTTCCCCCTCAGCTTTGATTTTCAGTAATAAATATTCTGCTAATATATTCAGATTAAAATTGACAGATGTTTAGCGTCGGTGAACAATGAAGGAATGAAGGGGGAGAGGAGAGACGCAAAAAGCACTTGTGATTAGCATAGGCACGTTCGGTTCACTTAGCGAATCGGTTCATTTGGACGGTTGGTTTTAAACGAACCGGTTCAAAACACGAAACCATAAAGATTGAGTCATCGCTCACAGATGCTTGCGAATGTCCCTGCTTGAGGTTTTATTTTACATTTAATTTATAGTTAAACCCTGAGTTATTCTTTATAGCCACTTTATGATTAGGTTATAGGCCTAGGCTATCGCGTTGTTTTGTATGTCATCCTCCACCTCAGTTTGATCCAAAACATATTTCTGCATTCTGCACAATATATTTTATATACAATATATTGCTACATTCCCTAAATTCTACATAGCCTCGTACACCAATACTATGGAGAATGGAAGCATGCTTTTCTGAACGTATCGGTCTGTTTAGTAAAATATAGGCTACCACTCTGCATCATGAAAGTGTTTATGCAGTAATATGTTTTGCACCATTAGAATACTCGGATAGCTTTTACATCTGGCAAATTGTTCATGAGTGTTAAAAGTGACCCAATTTACCTGTATTTACCCTATGCAGGCAGTGCACTGCATGTGTCCTAGTGCACTCAATTTGTCTATTGATTTTAGTGTGACAAATGAACTGTAAGTAGGCTAATATCGGTGGTTTTTACTCTCATTGTTTGACCAGACAACCAAAAGTTTAGACATTTGACTCAAAACTGGATTAAAAATGCAGAAAACCCATTTTTTATTTCCACTTAAAACAGGACGTCTTAAAGGACGACTAAATTACACATGCCACATAGGTAGCCTAATTAGGTCATGTGTGTAGCATACTTTCGATATGAATATATATTGCACAAAATGCAGTACAGTGCCATTCCAGTTCGAACACATCCAAGTTCTCCCACATGCGAGTGATTTCGCATTCACACGCTTTGCGAATCGGCTCGATCGAATCATTCAGAAGAACCGGTTCAAATAACCGTTCGTTCGCGAATTGGACATCGCTACTTGTGGTTTTCAGCCGGTCATTATTATTGCTCAGGATGCCTAGCGACAGCAAAAGATATGTAGATGGAAAGCTGCATGTCTCGGACTGCGGAGGATGCTGGAGAACAAGACGACAGATGCGTCTCGCCTGCTGTGGGAATATAAACTAAGAACAAGTTTAAAGGACTCGCTTTGGAGGATTTTGCCAAGCGGTTGCGGATGGAGACTGTGCATTAGTGGTCGTTGTGATCCGGAGGCTGATCATCACTCGTTTTCACTTAGACAGTGATGACAAATTCAAGAGGGATGGAAGAACTGTGAACTTGAATGAGTGGAACCAATTGCAAATCACCACCTGTTAGTTGAATATCAGGTAAGCATTTATAACTAGTATAGTGGGATTTCGATTTAATGCAATTAAATTTGCATTTAATTGCACATATTTTAATTGACCAAACATTTGTATTTGATCAGCTTTTCTAATAAGTGTTTCTAACCAAATTAGTCACCATTCAAACAGATCTAATTATGGAGATGACCACTAAGGGAGTGAGATCCAGAATCTCACTGAACACCCATCCAAATGTTTTAAAAACGAGGCTTTGTTGCCTAAACTTGAGAACACAAATGAGTGTGTGAAGCCTTTGATGCTGCATTAGAGATGCTGGAGCACAGAACAGCCTGCTTATGCACATTTTGCTGTGTCAGATCTTCCATTCACATCAGGGGCAATAAAGCACATACCTCCTTGTTCTCATCTTTATGCTAAACATTGTCTATCAAATTGTTCTTGGGCTGGCAGCCCTTCAAAGATGAGTCTTTAGGGACGCCCATCATTTTTAATTAAGGGTTTGCATTTAAATAAACATGTAAATATGATGTAGCTTGTTAATATTTGGCATGCAAACATCTCCCAAAGAGATTTTTTTGTGTAAAGCTGCTTTGAAACAATATGCCGAAAGCACTGTAGACATAAAACTGACTTGATTTAGCACCACAAGTGTCAGAAGGTCAGCGGTCATCTTTTTTGTTGTGACCCATCTTTGATTGTGTTGCATGTGTTCGCATTCATATCCATTATATCAATTACGTATTTCTCTCGCTCTACTAAGCAAGTAACTAGAAGCAAGAGACGCCTGCATTCTTCAAAATGAACAGGCCAGCATTATCATAATGTTTTGCCAGTGTGATCTACGACAGATTGCTCATTACGCACATACACCCTATAGTGCCTCATTAACACGAAACACTGTTTAAATATAGTGATAATGGTTCACCGTGTCGAGGGAGGAGTGACTGTGCTATGTGCATTGTTGACTCAACCTGAATGTGACCTGTAGACAGCTGGTGAATGTCTTGTGGCTTTCCCTTCCTTAAAAAAAAAAAATCTTTCTTAAGGCTGTCTTGCGTTTTATGCAACAATAACAATAGGAAAATTCTCAGGAATAGTAATGAACCGAACCAGAAAAATATATGCAGACAGGTAATTAGGGAGTCGAGTTTTTGTCTTGAGCTATTCTGTCAAGAGAGCAGGAAACAAAAATAGATTTTATTTTTTTGCATAGAATAAGAGATAGTTTATGGTTTCATAAGCATTCATAGAAATGGTTTCTGAGATGATTAAGGTTATATTCTAATGAGAGGCATGCTATCAATATTCATATACCTTTTAATGAATATTTAATGTTTGATATGTCTTATATTGATGAAAATAAAGGTTCTTTATTGGCATTGATGATTCCATGAAGAACCTTTATCCTTCTGTTCCACAAAAGGTTCTTTACAGCAGAAAAAAAGTTCTTTAGATGTTTAAAGTGAAAGAAAAAAAAATGGTTCTTTTAAAAACTGTCCACTGAAACCAAGAATGGTTCTTCTATGGCATTAACTCTAAACCTTTATTTTTTTAAGGAATAGTTCATCCAAAAAATTTTACTCACTCTCAGGCCGTCCAAGATGTAGATCATTTGATTTGAAAACAATTTGACATTACATCACATGCTCACCAGTGGATCCTCTGAAGTGAATGGGTGCCGCCAGAATGAGAGTCCAAACAGCTGATAAAAACACAGTATCACAATAATCCACAAGTACTCCACACGACTTCAGTACTTCAATTAACATCTTGTGAAGCGAAAAACTGTGTTTTAAAGAAACAAATCCACCATTAATGCATTTTAACTTTATCATTGCTTCTGGCCAAAATACCAATTTGTTTAAAACTGTTTTGTTCTGTTTTTGCTTGTAAACAGTGCTTGATCTTTCTGTGTATATTTCTCTCCTTAATTTAGACGAAACAACTTTATCATTGGAGAAAGCAATATTATGGACAGAGGACTTGTTTTATAGTCTGAAGCAATGGTTTGAAGTTAAAAAACATGAATGAATGATGCATTTATATAGCGCTTTATTGTGTATTTTTGTACACCCAAAGCGCTTTACAATCATGTGGGGGGGTCTCTCCTCAACCACCACCAGTGTGCAGCATCCACCTGGATGATGCGACGGCAGCCACAGGACAACGGCGCCAGTGCGCTCACCACACACCAGCTACAGGTGGAGAGGAGAGAGAGTCATAGAGGCCAATCAAGTGGATGGGGATTATTAGGAGGCCATGATAGACAAGGGCCAGTGGCGGCGATTCATCTTAATGATGGATTTTTTTTTTTTTTACAAATATGCAGCTGTTTGCTTCACAAGGCGTTAACTGATTGACTGGAGTGGTGTGGATTACTTGTTTTTTATTGTGATGTTTTTATCATCTGTTTGGACTCTCATTCTGGCGGCACCCATTCACTGCAGAGGCTCCATTGGTGAGCAAGTGATATAATGCTTAATTTCTCCAAATCTGTTTTTAATGAAGAAAAAAACCTACCTTCATCTTGGATGGCCTGGGTGAGTAGTATTCCAGTAAATTTTCAGTTTTGGGTGAACTATTTCTTTAAGAGTTAAAGGGTTAGTTCACCCAAAAATCACGTAGCAAGGAGATCTCGTAGCTTCGCAAGTATTCTCGTAGCTTCGTAAAATTACGGATGAACCCCTGATGTCACATGGATTATTTTACAGATCTCCTTGCTACGTCTCTGGACTTGGGAACATTTCAGTTGTATTGCTGTCTATACAGGGTCAGACAGCTCTCAGATTCCATCAAAAATATCTTAATTTGTGTTCTGAAGATGAACGAAGGTCTTACGGGTTTGAAACTACATGAGGGTGAGTAATTAATGACAGAATTTTCATTTTTGGGTGAACTAACCCTTTAACACTTTCATGCCCTCTTCTTCGTGCATGTAGCTGTTTCAGACTCACTAGAGAACCACCCCGAGACCCCCATTGCATTGTAAGTGTCAGGATGGCACCAGTCAAATCTTTGCGCATGCCCGCAGTGCACGGTTTATCGTTTTGTCTCACTTGCAATCACAGCGGTGGCAGCATTGAAGATTACCCAGGGTACCCTGAATAGTAACTGACAAGTGCTCTTTTGATCCATTAGGCAGCGGAAGCATCCAGCAGACATTTCTCGTAAAATGTGATGGGACAGATGGCGAGGCTTTTGTAACAGCAGTGATTTCTGTGGAACAAGCTTAAAAGAACACAGAAACAATAAAAATGACGGGGTGCGTATAAGAGTGATATGATGATAATGGTGTGCTTTGACGCTGGTGCTCTCTGGGCTAAATTATAAATAGTGTGTGTGGTCTAATGCAACATTGCCATTAGAAATTTCAATGCATAGAATATAACAATTGGTATGTCAGTCAAAAATGTCTTGCATGAACATTATTCAGAATATATACAACATGGTTAAAAGTGCATCCATAATAACATGGGTTACTGATACTTGAACATTTCTGCAGTGACTTGGACAGTGTATGTCTAATAAAAAGCCCTCTCAGAAGAGTGGAGGCTGTTATATCAGCAAAAAGAGGACCAACTCACTAATAATGTCTATCGTTTTGAATGTAAATGTTCAATAAGCACGTATGAGTTGGGATGCACAAACACTTTTGGCCATGTGGTTTTGGGAAGAGTGGGGTAAAAGTGTCTGTTTCACCTCATTAATCAGACAAACTGTGCATAATTCTTTGTCCATGACCATATATATATATATATATATATTTTTTTTTTTTTTTTTCTGACTGTGTATGAGTGATGCACATACGAAAACATTTTTTGTAACTTTTCGACATTGCAGGTAAAATGCATTTTATTTCAAAGAAATTTCTAAAGGTCTAAATATATTTAAACATGTACAGTTTTAGACCAATACTAATATGAATACTAATACAAAATATTGACAGTCGTTTCATTACATTAATGTATTCTGAATATTAAACAATTTTCTGGCTAGTTTATGAAGTGCATTAAAATAAAATGGTAACATTTTACAGTAAGGTCCTATTAGTTAACGTTAGTCAATGCATTAACTAACCATACTCAATACATTTGTTACAGTATTTGTTCATCTTTGTTAACGTTAGTTAATAAAATACAACTGTTTATTGTATGGTCATCTTAGTTCAGGTCCATTAATTAATATTAAGAGGTACAACCTTTGGTTTAAATAATGTGTTAGTAAATGTTGAAATTAACTTAAACTAATACTAATAAATGCTTTAGAAGTATTGCTCATTGCTAGTTCATATTAACTAACAAAATAAACTTATTATAAAGTGTTGCCTGTAAGACATTAAAATTGGAATATGCATTGGATTACTCTTAATGTAAAAAAAAAATAAAGAATGTTTAAAAAATTATATTTTTAATTTAAATGACAATTTTCACATACTTATTTTTAAACATTTACATTTAAAATAAAATACAATAAATAAATATATTTTAAAATCATTTTTCACAATATTCTATATATATATTGCGTGTGCTATAATATTGTGAAAAATGAGAGAAAAAAAAAACATGTTTTTTTTAACTGAAATATTCATCAAACTCTGTATTCTGTATGTGTCTACACTGTCATTCAGCCGTAAAGTGTGCAAGCATGTGTGTTTCTTTATTTGGATGCAGATTGTCATGGAGCATATGGTTGTTTCAAAATGTGTAGTGTGTTTGCAATGCATGCAAGGATGGTCAAAGTCGAAAGTGAACAATAGCTTCAGGCAGTCATGCTCATTCATTCTTGTCAAACGCACACAATAATAAGCTCAGCCTTTTGTTGCCAGATGATCCTTGTTTCTTGGCTGATACTTCATGTTTTGCAGGTTAGGCTGCTTGGTTTCTAGAACAGACCCCATTTTGTCATGCTGTGTGGTTGTTTAGCTGATTCCTGACCCTTAAATTTTATTGGCTTGAAAATGGGTGTTTCCACAAACACAGAACCGCCCCTTGGAATGCCTCAAAATGATGCAGAACCTTTAG